GGGACTTCCCTGGTGGCACAGTGGTTAAGAATCTGCCTGCCAATGCAGGGGACACAGGTTTGAGCCCTGGTCCTCGAAGATCCCACATGCCGTGGACCGACTAAGCCCACGCACCACAACTACTGAGCCTGCGCTCTAGAGCCCGCGAGCCACAACTACTGAGCCTGCGTGCCACAGCTACTGAAGCCCACGCACCTAGAGCCCATGCTCCGCTACAAGAGAAGCAACCGCAATGAGAAGCCCCTGCAATGAGAAGCCCTTGCACGGCAACGAAGAATAGCACCTGCTTGCTGCAACTAGAGAAAGCCTGCATGCAGCAACGAAGACCCAACGCAGCCAAAAATAAATAAATAAATTTATAAAAATAAAACAAAACAAAATATATAGTTTAAATTTGTAAAGTTTAAGGTAAAGCATACTTTTTTTCATAGTTATTTTTAGATATAGAGACTACACTACCATATATAATCAGCTATACTGCTGTGCACAGTTAATTCCAGTTACCATATTTTGTATTTGCTGGTCATCAACAGCACAAAATTTATGCTCCAAAAGAAATATATCAATCCGGTTACATTTAATTTTCTTTTAAAGACAGATTAATTAAATTTAAGGAAGAATTGGCTTTTCTTGATATCTCATTTTCAAATTACTGTTACAAACTTACCAGAGAGTAAGTTTTTATTTTGCCTAACATCAAACAATCTTCAAAAAGTTTCCAAGATAGAGGCATTCCTTGTTCCATTTCCAAAACTAAATAAAGGCTTTCTAACTGAAAGCATTTACATTCCTAGCCCTCTAAAGTAAACATTAAAAAAATGATCTCTTGGCTTCTGAATAGCCCACTTACTTACATAAAGTGTTTTCTGTCCCAACACTTTCTCAAGTTCAAAAGATATTTACTTCCTAAGAACATGACAGTCTTCATTTCAAAACATTCAGTCCGTTTCCATGGCAACACTGATGGGATTCCTTGGCCACCATAAGTCACATTAGTTGACTGTGGAATTTCTCAGTCTTCTTTACATCTTGAGCTTGGTCTGTTCTATACACAAAACAAACTAAATCATCTGTTACTTTAATACCCAAACTCCCATCAGAATGCCTATATTTGAGAACCACACATGCCTTCATAGGGTCTGCGAAGTAGAGTTTCTCCACTGCGTGACTGAATTCCTCCTGTGTCTGGTACTGCGGCATCATGGGCCCACGGCAGAACAGGAGAGGGAGGCAAAGCTACGGGCCAGAGGTGGCGTGACGCGGCCCACCTACTGCGGCAGGGGCCCAGCCGCTCAAAGGTGGTGGCGCCTCTTTGCCACTTTGTCCTCTCGTTGAAAGTTGGCATGTAAAAGTCAACATCTGTTTTGTGAATCTAATCTCTTCAAATTGCAATCATTCCTCCCCCCTCTTAACTATCATCCATCTATCTATCTGTCTGTCTATCTATCTATTTTAAAACTCTACAAATGTCAAATATTTTAAGGCCAGTTCTATCTAAAATTTTCTTTCAAGTTGCATGAGCATTACCTTGGAACGGTTGCATTTTCAAAGGCAGTATTCCAGAAGCCTCTGATCTTTCTGACCCTCTTGGTTCAGGTAACCTCTGGCTCAAGTCTTGGGTTTACGTAATCCTTAATGTGAGGTGATGGGCACTGGCTAGACTGCTTCTCCGTGAGATGTGCCTGTTTTTCTTGCCAGGCTGTGTGGGTTCACAGACCGGGTGCCGAGGAAAGCACCTGACCAGCCTGGGACTCGTTATCACACTGCCCTGGAACAATTCTCTGTCACCTCTGAATGCTCTGAACAGAGCTTTGAGTTGGCTGCAAGGAGTCAGGGCTACAGAACACTGATGACATTCTCCCCTCGTGACCTTTGTGAGCCATAGGCAAAAGGAACCTCTAAGGATAGAGACATAAGGAGAAGTGGAAAGAGTCAGAGTCCTGTACCTGAAGGAGAAAAATTAGAGGAAGGTTTCTATTTATTGGATTTAGAAAAAAATACATTTAAACATGCAAGTATTCATGGAATATGACTTCTGTGAGTTTTCTTGAAGAAACACCTTGAGGAAGAACCAGCGAAACAAATGATAAATGGAGAAATTTTGGCAAAAGAAGTGATAGCATGTTTTGAATCTTTTTAATGAATCGAAATCCAAAACAACTCCAGGGAGTAAGTTTCCAGAACAAATTATAAACATTACAACCTCTGATAATGTAGAAAAGATTGTCAGAGCACCACTTGAAGGAGAAGGAAACAAAAATTTTGATGGTAAGATAAATATGCCAGTTTCCTCAACTTTTAATTTCTGGGAGCTGGAAGAGATTATAAGTAGCAGTGTTTAAGATAGAAAGGTAAACACTAAAAGATATATAGTCAGTTAAAATTAAGTGATGGAAGAGAAGGAAATAAAATAATGGAAAGTAGAAAATATAGAAATTTTGTGATTACTCACAATCTTAAGTTGGTTATAAAAGGAGCCATTAAAACGAACAAACAAACAAACAAAATATGTCTTCAGAAGAAATCAAACAAAAATAAACCAAACCAATGAAAAGTTTTTTTAAAAAATCACATCAAATATGATGAGAGAAGCTAAGGGCAAGCAAATCTATTTGATTGAGTCAGATGGAATAACAGAACACAACCATATACTGAAAATGACTCAGAAAGGTAAAACACGCAGTGGTCATCATCTTAATCAATCAAGGCTGAAGAGAGGACAAAAAATTCCATTACCACGTCCAAAAAGAAGCCAGTGGTCAGGGTCCAATCTCACTCTCTGAAGGATGGCTATCTATGTACAAGTGGCATCGATTAACAAGGGAAACTGGGAGAAAAAATCTAGAGACACATTTAGAAAGAGGTTGAGAGAACTCTTTCAGTCTATGACAAATCAAGTGGGAAAGTAAGGATAAAGGAAAACCAAAATGACAACAAAAAATAGGAATCTAATTAACAGCTCTTGGACTCCAATAAAAAATATAATATTATGGCCAAGACTTCTAGCTGTCCCCAACATCTATTCTTCCCCATTTCCTTTAGAAATACAGCTCTGAATTTTAGCAGGGCCTACGGTTTCCCAGAAAAAGGCATATTTCCTAAACTCCCAGTGGTTATGATGAAGTTCTGCCACCGTGATGGAAGCTATGTGCAACTTCTGGGAACTGTCCTAAAGCAGGGCAGTTGGTGGAGCTGATGCACCCATTTCAGAGTGTTTTAAAATACATAAAATTAAATATATAGGATTAAAAGGAAGCCAATTATATTGAAATACAGTTATTAAAATATTAAAATTAATTTGTGATAGAATAACATATATGCATCTTTATTAACACTTTAAAAAACAAGGAAAAAATACCCCAGCAAGGTCCAGTGACAAGTTCCAATAACCACTTTAATTTCAATGCCATGGATGTAAATTATGCAATAGATACGAATTCTTTTTTTTTACTTGTACTTAGTAGCTCAATGTAGTGAGGGTCCTTTAGCATCTGTCACATACATTTCAAACACGGAGTTCAATCTCCTCTTGGTCTGTGGAGTAGAATGTGCCCCTTTCTCCTCAGGCTCATGGGAAAGGTTTCCCTGCCCACTCCCCACCTGATGTATCTCTTATTTATGAAGCCACCATAAATGGATACATCTGAGAGAATATGGACCTTTTTTTTTTTCTTTGTCATTGGAGGTCCTGGTTTTACTTCTGGTTCTGTCCATATTATCATCCAGTAAATCTCCTAGTCAGATAAGTCAAAAAATGCCCAAGAATAAAGGACTTAGCATCTGGTTCATATAGATTCTTGAAGTAAAGAGAAAATGAGTGATGGTTAAGCTTCCTGCTTAATTGTCTGAGGCTGATGTCATACGATTTTTCTAAAAGAGGTTGTATTTTTCTATCAGAAATGATCAGAGTCCTGGGTTATACTTAAAAGATGAAATGCAGATTAGCTTCCAATGTAATTCTGTTGCCAGACCAGACAAGCTCAGGTAGGCTGGAGATTGATTGCTGCATGCAATGTCTACTTGTTTAGGCCATTCCACTAATGCGGCAAGATAGAGGTGCCATGAAGGCCAACCCTCAGCCCCACTCCTGATTCTGGTAGTCTGGAAGCAGGAACCTGGTAAAAAACCATTAACGTGACCTCATTTTTATACACTCTGGTCACTGGCCAAATTTGGGACAAATTGAGTACCAAAAAGTAAAAAATGTGAATAATAACTGCAACTTATGTCAAAAAATACGACGGAATGATGGATGGATAGAGGGCAGCATAGATGAAGAAATCTGTGATAAAGGATAGTAAAATGTAACTTGTAGAATGTGGGTGATGTTCACTATGAAATTCTTTCAACTTTTCTGTATGTTTGAAAAATTTCATAAAAAGTGTTGGAAGAAACAAATAATGTTGGTAATTGATTATAAAACATTGAATAAAAGGGAACGTTAGTCTACAACGATATTCAAAAAAGAGAGAAAGACAAAAAAAGAGAAGTTCATTCTTTTCAAAACAATGTGGGGTAAGGAATACTGAAGAAATGAAAGTTACCATTTTGCAATTCCCGAAGTAATAATTGATCCAGGAAAGGGTCATCAATGGATGCAAAAACCATGTGGTGAAATGTGCTGGGGAACTGGATATTCACACAGCCTGAAGAATCACTGCTCAGATCACTTACTAATTAGAAAGAGAGAAATGTAACTTTATAATGGGATGGTCGACCTGTCACCACACTAACCAACTCATCACCAATAGTGGAGTTAAATTTCTCCCAAAACATATATGTATATGTTTTCCTTTTTTCACATGTGGTTTCCAGATCCTGGAACTAGCTAAAAGTCGTATAAATGTAGAATTGTACACTCCGAGACATCACTGCCCTTCTCCTGCTGGGTTGTCTTTCACTCTTACCTTAGTTTTTCATATTTGTACTTGATAATGTGTGATTATTTCAGCCTGGTTCCAATTTCCTGTTATTGTTTCTTTTGCTTTTCTTTGACTTAGGCTGTTGTTTGAATACTTGAAGACCCTCCCACAAGAACTTCTACTATACATTTGAGAGGGAGAGGTCTCAAGACACGCATGGAGAAGCTAATCCTAACAGCAATAATATGACAACATCTGGACTTCTTACACAGTGCTCTGTGCTTTCCCATGCACTGCCTTTCTCAACCCTCTTTTCCCTTGATTTTCTAATAGTTGCATCTTTATCAATTTTTTAATATGTGAAGCCAAGAATTCTTCTCCCATTAAAAACCAGTTTTCTGGGCTTCCCTGGTGGTGCAGTGGTTGAGAATCCGCCTGCCAGTGCAGGGGATACGGGTTCGATCCCTGGTCCGGGAAGATCCCGCATGCCGCGGAACAGCTAAGCCCGTGTGCCACAAATACAGAGCCTGCGCTCTAGAGCCCACGAGCCACAACCACTGAGCCCACATGCCACAACTACTGAAGCCTGTGCATCTAAAGCCCGTGCTCTGCAACAAGAGAAGCCACCGCAATGAGAAGCCGGTGAACCGCGATGAAGAGTAGCACCCGCTCACCGCAACCAAAGAAAAGCCCGCACGCGGCAACAAAGACCCTACACAGCCAGAAACAATAAATAAATAAAATTTAAAAAACCAAAGAAACCCCACCAGTTTTCTATCTGCACTTACTGGTTGCTACTGTCTGAATGTTTGTGTCCCCTCAAAATTCATTATGTTGGGGCTTTCCTGGTGGCGCAGCGGTTGAGAGTCCGCCTGCCGATGCAGGGCACACGGGTTCGTGCCCCGGTCCGGGAAGATCCCACATGCCACGGAAAGGCTGGGCCTGTGAGCCATGGCCGCTGAGCCTGCGCATCCGGAGCCTGTGCTCCACAACGGGAGAGGCCACAACAGTGAGAGGCCCGCGTACCACAAAAAAAAAAAAAAAAAAAAAATCATTATGTTGAAATTCTAACCCCCAAAAATGATGGTATTAGGAAGTAGGGCCTTTGAGAGTTGCTTAAGTTTTTAGGGTGGAACACTCATGAATGGGAATAATTAGTGCCCTTATAAAAGTTAGCCCACAGAGATACCGAGCCTCTTCTACCATGTGAGGACATGGTAATTTCAAAGGTGCTGGCTCTAAACCAGGAAGAGGGCTCACACTAGAACACTGACCATGCTAACACCCTGATCTTAGACTTCCAGTCTCCAGAAATAAATTTCTGTTGTCTTTAAGCTACTGAGTCTGTAGTATTTTGTTATAGCAGCCTGATCAGACAAGACACTGGTTCCATTTTTTGCCTCATATTCACTCTTGAACCCATGCCAAAATGGCTTTCATTCTTACCACACTATGGAAATCACCCTTGCTAAAGTAATCAATGGTTTCCATTTCCCTAAGTCCAGTTTTCATCATATATAGTGGACCATTTACTCCTTAAAATATTCTTGTCCCTGACTTCTGTGATCACATTTTGCTAGTTCTTTCCTACCATCTGTACTTCTCCTTCTCCTTTTCCTGTACCGTATAAGCCTTTTCACTCAACCCTTAATGTTACATATAGTTCCTTGGGGCTCCGTCCCAAGCATTCTCATTCATTCCTTTAATAAAACTTACTGTGCACCTACTATGGCATAGACACTGTATTAGTTACAAGGCATTGCATTACAGTCCCTGTTCTCAGGGAGTTTAGAGGAAAAGCTGTCAATCATAAATTATTTAATTGATCATTAATTATAGTCGGTATAAGGACTATTAAAAAGTTCAAGGTACTACTTCTACGGGTTAACTGGAATAAACTTGGCTGTGTCTGACATTCCAAAGATGCAACCCATTTAGTCACAGGGGAACCGGAGGTGCTCTTATAAGGAAAACATCTTCCTACAGTTGAGAAAAAAATTAATAAACAAGGATAAAATCCCTTTGAATTTCTCAGTTGAAAGTAAGATTCTTCTTACTCTCATTTCCTTCTCTGATTTGTTTTAGTAGGCAAATCTCCAGTCTGTCTGAAGGGATCAAAATTCAGATGGTGAGGGCTTCCCTGGTGGCGCAGTGGTTGAGAGTCCGCCTGCTGATGCAGTGGACACAGGTTCGTGCCCCAGTCTGGGAAGATCCCACGTGCCGTGGAGCGGCTGGGCCCGTGAGCCATGGCCACTGAGCCTGCGCGTCCGGAGCCTGTGCTCCGCAGCAGGAGGGGCCCCGGCAGTGAGAGGCCCGCGTGCCGCAAAAAAAAGAAAAGAAAAAAAAAAAGAAAAAAATAATTCAGATGGTGAGGTGACTGTAGATTGTGTTTTGTTTATAAAAATGCTTTCACCATAGGCCACAAGGCTGGTGGTGGTCTTCTTTCTGTAGGCCTCCTGTCAGCCAAAGATCAAAAGATTAAGAAATTTACGCTAATATTTATAATATACAAAAGCTATGAAGGATGTAATAACACTTGTCTGTGAAGCAATTTAGTCAGATTAGTCACTGAAAGACTTATTTCTAATATTTAAATTTATTTCTTAATTTTATTTCTAAAATTAAGAGCAGAAAACATGGCTTCAGCTTTTATTAAAGTCTATTATTGGAGTACTACAGAATAAGAAGGAAGAAAAGGGAAATAGGGAAGGAGAGATACAGGTGGTGTCAAGAGACATCAGATATCATTAATGACACCTTCATCTTGTAACTTCATCTTGTATTATCTTGAATAACCCCTAAGCTATTCAAAATCCTGCTTTGCGTTTGCAACCATTGGTTTATACAGTGGGTATTACAACTTGGGACCTTCCTGCAAGTTCAGTGAAATCGACTCCAAGTCTACTTTTGGTTCCTGCTTCAGCCACTCTCCAGCCCTCTTTATGTAAAGGAGTGTTTTAGGGAATCCCCTGGTGGTCCAGGACTCTGAGCTTCCACTACAGGGGGCCCAGGTTCGATCCCTGGTCTGGGAACTAAGATCCCTCAAGCCACGAGGTGCGGGAGTGGGGAAGAAAGGTGTGTTTTATGCCAAAGCCTGAATCACCTGCAGGATAAAGCCTGAGTCAGTAGTGCCTACCTGATTCTTATGTTATTGTGGGGCGTTACGGTCATTTCTTTCTAAGTATTATCCTTACTTAGAACTGGAGTATTTTATACCAGTCAGTTGCACATTGTTATGTCATAGGCATTTGAATTTGCTCACAGTTGGAAAAAATTTGCTTTTTGGTGATTTCTAAAGTCACCTTGGCCATCAAGCACTTCTTTCCAGGGAGTACTAATTAAGTAATTAAGTGCTAGAAACACATCAAATAAACTTAACAGTGTATAAAAATTTTAAAAGAAATTCATTTGATTAAATAGAACATGAATCAAAATGAACCAGAATATCTGTAAATAACTTTCTACAGTGCTTTGAAGAGAGACAGATGTTGAGGGCCGAGCTCTCCAGTGTGCTGGAGACCTCAGGGACGTGAGGTTTTACGTTCAGTTGACATGGTAACAATTCAGATCTGCATGTTGGCACCTCTCACAGTTTTTCTATCAGTGGATTCCAGTATTTGCTATGAGAAGAGACAGACTTCACACCTGGAGTTGAAAATTTGGTTTGGCCTGCACCAAAACAGCCTCCCCACGTAAATGGTTTAAATAATAGTTGCTGATACTTGAGCACTTGCTAGGTACTAGTGCTTTACATTAATCTCCCAAGTCTTATGATGCAGGGTTTCAGTGCCTATTTTGGGATGAAGAAATAGGCATAGAAGTTAGGTCACTTGCCTAAATGGCGGACCTGGCAGCCTGGCTCTGAAGCCTCAACCCAAGGGGTTTTTTGCCCTCCTCGTAATGACTTAGTATGTAGCTTTCAGTCTCAGTGTCTGTGCCCTGCTGTCACCCTCACTTTCCCACCCACCCACCAACTGTCTGGCTTTTTTCAGGAGCTCACCCCTTTCCTCCCTCTCCCACTTCCTCCTTAACAAGAGGCCCCTTGCCATCTGCAGCCAAGGTCAGAACCACATACGCTATGGTCAGTACTTGGAGCACAGCAGACTACTTCTTACTCCCACGTGTGCTTTTCTAAATTCTTCCTTTCCCACTTCTTTCTTCCCTCTTCCCTGACCTCAAGACCTCATGCTCTGCAGGGGAACAAGGAAGCGGCTGTGTGGGTCAACAGAAAGCCTCACATTTGCTGGCTCCTAGAAATATCTTCTCTTGACTTTATGCCCTGCCTTGCTGACTCCAACATAACCTGTGCCTAAACCTTTGCTCCCCAGCTGCTTCATCTGCCTGGGTCTGACCAGTCCTCAATTAAGCAATTAAGTAATTAAGCAATTACTTTGTTTCAAACCTCCCTGGCTGCATAAGTCAGACTAGTGCTCTCTAACCAACTTCCTCCTTGTAAGTGTTCCCGAAGTGAAGGACTTGAGTGGATGAGAAACTCAGAATGCAGTAATGAGAATTAGAAAAATAAACATTCTTGGGGCTTCCCTGGTGGTGCAGTGGTTAAGACTCTGCACTCCCAGTGCAGGGGGCCCAGGTTTGATCCCTGGTCCGGGAATTAGATCCTGCATGCATGCCGCAACTAAGATTTCCCATGCCACTACTAAGGAGATTGCGAGCAGCAACTAAGGAGCTGGTGCGCTGCAACTAAGGAGCCCTTGAGCCGCAAGTAAGGAGCCCACCTGCCGCAACTAAGACCTGATGCAACCAAATAAATAAATACTTTAAAAAAATTATTTAAAAGCTAGCAAACTTATAAAGTGATGTGACGGACAGGGTAAAATGGTACATTTCCAAAGCTGAGCAGGTCAGCAAAATAAGGCAACTGGGTGGTCCAGAAGGGGAGCTGTTATGCCTCTCTTGGCCCCTTTTTGGACTGTGACACTTTTTCATGATGCAGAGAGACTTATCTCATATTAATGGGTAAATAATGAGGCAAAATGGGGTTGTCACTCTCCCAAAGTCCAATTCCAAGATAACTGCCATTATTTGACCTGTCTTGCAGTTCCTCAGAAAATCCCACTCACAAGGCATGTCTTTATTTAATCTGAGTTAAAGTTCACCCAGTGCTATTTTCCTGGGGGCAATGGTTTAAGGTAGGCGGCTGCCTGAGGTGGTGATAACAGTTGGAGAAAACAAGATAAACAAAAATTTAAAGGAAAGGCTGGGGAATGAGATATCCATAAGGGACTTTGAAACGCTCTGATGTTCCTGGGAAATTAGAAGCCCAGGGACATGCCCGGAGTCATGTTCATGCTTGAGAAAGACCTGAGAAAAATCAAAGTTCTCATCTCTGGCTGATGTTGAAACTCAACAGAAGCAGGGAGTAAAGTAAACATAGAACTGTAGCCAGCTTGCCTGAGCACTGAAGGCCGTCTCCCCAGCAGGCACACAGCGCCCTCAGCAAAGCCTGGGAGATTTATTGGTTCCAG